ACACACATACACACGAACACAACGCAACTAACGGATAGAACGAATGATAAGAAAGGCAAAAAGTGTCATTTTTTTAATTTCAATCTATAAAATTTTAGAGTATACGTTTAAGGAGGTTGCATTTACAGACTGTCCATTTGAAGAAATTTGAAAAAAAAAAATTAATGAAAAATAAAAAGAATCACTCAGTTAATTTTATTCTCTCCGTTCCAAATAAATGGAACAAAATGAACGTATTAAACTTTGTTATTCCAATAAAGAATTGAATTAATTGGACAAAAATCAATCAATGAGATAATAATTTGATGATGAGAGGAGGAGAAGTATAAAAATGTTAATAAATACCTGAATTTAATATTATGTTTAATTATTGAGGAAGCAATGATTTGGATGATGTCGTGGAATAATAATTAAATATAGGGAGGTTTAGTTACAAAGTAAAATTTAGAGAAAAAAAAATTAGATCATAGTAAATTGGAGCAACTGCAAAAGTACACCATCAATCGTGAAACGAAACAATTACAATGATATGTTATTGATTAAACCAATTAAACAAATTAACAAATTGTGTTATTTATTAATGGAATATTATAAATAAACAATTTGACTAATGATGAAAAATCTAATCATATTTGCAAAGTGATACAATAAATAGATAACAAGAAGACTAATAATTTAATAAAAATAATATTTAAAAAAAAAAATTAGGACGTAATTTCTATTACTATTCTATTACTTACGGGTAATGGATGGAATCATTCACGTAGAATAAACTAATTTTAAATTCTGAAATTATATTTAGAATCTTTAGACATGTTATAATATTATAATGAAATTGTAGTAGAATAATACTGTAATTAGTTATAAAACTGTAATAGAAAATAGTAATGGATGTGAACAAAAAAATGTTTTCTAAATTTGATTACACAATGATATTTTATATAGTAATTGACATTTACTACTATAGTCTAAATGACCTTGGTCATCTCGAGAAGTTATACAGCGATAGTTGACTGTGTAAATGACAAATATTACCATTAAACACCATCAGATGATTAAAATAACCTTGAAAGTAGTAATTCGAGAACAAAAAAAAAACGAAAAAAAATGTATCAGAATGAGAGGAAGATGAAGAAGAGGGTAACTATCCTTTATCGTCAGCAGTATTTTATGATTTATGTTTTCCGATTCCTGCTAACCATTTTGGAAAAAAAAAAACTGAAATTTGAAGAAAAAAAAAATGAATAGAGATGGATGGATTAAGAGCAAGAAGCGAGATAATACAATTACATACTTGAATTGTTGGGTGTAAAAATTGGTAATTTAAAAGATAAAGATAAAACTGGAAAAGAAATAAAATTATAGAACAAAAAAGTGATAGAGATGGAAAAATCAAATAGACATGGTCAAAGGTCAAACGTGCAAGAAGAAAAAAGAAAGCAAAAATTGTAACAAAGAAGTGATCATTTGTAAAATGATTGCATTAATTATGCTACTTGAAATTTGTACAAACTGTTGATTTCATTTAATGAAAGTTAATATTGTGTTTTATTGAGAAATAAAATTATAAAAAGTGTATGATATAGGGAAAGGGTGATGATAAATAAGAAGTCTTTGATTGAAAAATTTTTGGAGAGAAAATTACATTTTGATAAAAAATCGGACAATCAAGAATGACCTAAAATTTAATTCATCAAAATCTAAAATCCGAAATTAAACAAAAAGTATTATTCGTCGTTTTTTTTTTTTTGGAAAATCCGTAAAATGGACGAATATATCGATATGTTATAGGAAATGATAACACATCATATCTATTCATATTTCATCTTTTGTGCTACTTTAAAATTTGCACAACTGTTCGATAATATGGATGAATTGAAAATTGGTAAAAATAAAAAAAAAATCCAATGAGAGGTGATAAATGACTATAGTTCATATGTCGCCGAAAAATTTTTAATTCATTATATTTTGATTTTTTATTTTGGCAAATTTTACAAAAATATATATTTGAAGAAAAGAAAAACAAGAACTAAAAGATATATGAAATTGAAATCAAAATTTAATAGTTTAAACAATGCTTAGACGGTAAATCCATTGGGACAATGACAAAAAAAACTTTCTAAGAGGAAAAAAATGTGTCAATTTAGTTAAATTCTGAAAAATTACGAGAATAAATCAATCAAATAGTCAGCAAAACAGGATATCAATTCATCATTTCTTTCAATATGTATCGCTTTCTCTCTCTCTCTCTCTCTCTCTCTCTCTCTC